ATTTGACATTCTTATGAGATTGTTTCTGGTCTGGCCATCACACTAGAGTAACTTTAAATATAAGACAGTGCTGGACAGCCTTGCTTCCACAATAGAATCATCACCTGAAGACTATATTTTAAAATCCCTTCTTTCACGTCATTCCCCAAGTAACCTAATTTGAATGTTTGCAGATAGACAAATGTATCCCAATTTTCTTAAAATATTCAAGTGAGTCCATTATGTGGCAAATTTACAATTATTTAGGGAAGAAACAATCCTCCATGTATATTGAACTTACAGTCATCCAACATACACACCTAAAGAGGACCTGCAATGAAAAGAAGGATTTTCAAGGCCTAAAAGCTCTGTTAACTTTAAAATTATAAAATGGAGGTGCTAAAACTATCATGTTAAATTTTCCTCTCTGAGTTCTAGTCCTTTCTCTTTCTCTTTAAGCCCCTTTCTTCTCATTCTCTCTGTGTCCCTCTAGGCTAGTGATAAGCTAGTGACAGATCTAAATTTGAAGCTTCTATTTGGAAGACTTGAGGAAAACCACATTGAACAACTAACTGAAACGAAATAGTGTGCTGGCAGTACTGAATGTTTAGAGAGATTTCCAAGCAAATATTCATGTTTTCATAACAAATAGCACTATCAAACCTGTGACACTTTTGTAATTAAAGTTAAAAAATTTTCCTAGTGCTAATAAATTTATGGTTGTAATTTTTGTTAAAATGCACTGGAGCCATTTGTATTTAAGTATTTTCACATGTGTTTAAAACCATCATCAGATAATTATGTTAATAACAGCCACTATTAAATTAAGTAATAGCTGGCATAAACAACTCAGCAAAAACATTTCTAAGATTTTCTATGAGCAGCATTGCAGCCAAAACCCATGACAATCTACTTCAACTTTGACAAAATGAACAGTTCAACATTCTTCTGTGAAGTAGAATTTGAAATGGTTGATGATGATTTTCATCACAAAATGCATCCTTTACATACAAGCAACAAAAATGTACTCAGCCAGTTATATTTTTGTATGTGTGCATACACATACATATTGTATGTAATATGAATAATCAGAGGAGAAGACTTTATCAATTTATGGGATGGGTTAGAGAAAGGGTATCTGGGAGGGGCTGGAGAGAGGAAGAGGTTGGGGGAAGTGACTTAATTCTATTTTAATTAAAAACACAAAAAAGAAAAATTATAATATTATAGAACAGGAAAGAAATGCATCCTAACCCCTTCGAAATAAAAGCCAAAACATTTACGTATAAACCTGTGGGCTCTAACTTTCTCTATGTCCCTGACCTCATGTGCAGCAATGCTAGCCCTCTCTACCTCTCTCCCCATCCCTTTCCTTTTTTCTTGCACAGCCTTACTATGTACCCCAAGCTAGCTTTAAAATTACTGTCCTTCAGTTTTGAAAGTGCCAGGTTACTAGGTATTTGCTATCACAGTTGGCAATAATGGGCTTCCTGCTATTCCTCGAACACAACGACTAGAACACCCTTCTTAGAATATCCTTATAGCTATCTCCCTTATTTCATGAGATATATTGCTCTATATCATATCAAACAGACCTTCCGTGAACACTCTGTATTAATTAGCTCTCTCTAACATGTCATACTGTATTCCCACTAATCTAAGTCTTCACTCAACACCTCTCTTTGCTTGTTGTCTACCCCTTCAAGAGCATCCCTCACCATCTCCAAAATGATACAATGGTACAGAAGATTCTTGGCACATATTTGTTAAATGAATAAATGACCATTATGACACAATATTTTGTGTTGAAATTTTCTTTTTTTGCAGCTTCCTAATCTTGAGGGCTGAGTAAGAACCACAAGAGGATTTAACCAAAGCTTTCCAAACTTTTCTAGTATAGGAAAATCTGGACATTCCAAACGGCAATTTGAGGGTTAAAACTAGTGCTATAGAATTACAGAAAGAAGGAGGCAGGAGCAAAGGGAGAGGGACAGAGAGGGAAGGAGAGAAAAAGGGAAGAAGAGGAGAAGAGAGAAAGAAAGGGAGAAAAGAAGAGGAGGAAGAGACAGAGTCAAAACAGGGATCCCTTAAAGGTTTTTATTTGTTGTTGTTTTTGCAATTACCTCTCATGAAACCACTTTTCTTTGTCATAAATGAAAATTCTAGTAAGCGGAATGACATCAAATAATTCAAAGTGCTGTGGAGAAGCTGCTTAAAACCCTTGGAGAAAAATTCTACTTTTTCCTTATGTCTTAGGAGGTTCATAAAGTTTTTCTTATCCTATAAAGGCAATAAACATATTTCAGCAACAATATGACAGCTAAAAGTTTCCTCGTTCCCATATATACAACTAGAAATTCCACCCAAAGATAATCTAACCAACATGCACACCAAGAGACAAGAAAATGTTAAAACAGAAACATAGCAGTCCTTAAGAAATGATATGAATACCAAAGGTGGAGCACTGGAAGTGGAATCAACACATAGTTCCTTCCCCACCCTCCTCCACTCAAGGGTAGATATGGCATGCACAAGTGGCTCTTGACTCAATGACAAGACTACACTTTTACAGTCAAAATCAACCAGGAGTGTTTCTGTTGAATATGTGCTTTCCTTTGTTTTTAGGAGGCCCTAGTAAAAAATGCTGGGTTTTTGTTGTTGTTGTTGTTGTTGTTTTTTATCTGAACTCCCCCAACTCAATATTATGGGCTGGTTGGAGTAAGACTGTTTTGCAGTTTAGAAGATCTACAGAGGAGACACAGAATAGAGGACTGTGCTTTGCTTTAAAATGTTACCAAGGAAACTAGAACAGACACCTTCACTGGATGAGAGCTGGTACTGGGGATGTGGTGAAACAGAGCACATTAAAGAAGAATGTTACTCTGTACTTTCAGTTTACATTTAGAGGCAGCTAAATGGTGGACTGCTGAACCAGGTCATTTTCATCACCTATCCAGACTGTTTCATGGTGAAATAATAGCTCTAAACCTCAAACAATTGCATCTCCTTGGTGTAGACATAATTAAGTTTCATCCATAACCTTGCCACCCTCCCTAAACAGAAACAAAAAAGAGACAAATATAAAATATGTCATTGGTCCATAAAAGCCTTTTGTAGCTATGCTATACTATACCAACTCTTCTTAATCTAATGGGAGGACGCTAATGAGGCCCTCCTTCCCAACACAAAGTACCTGACAAGACAGCAACATGATAGAACATTCATGATGGCCTTAGCTTTCCTACTGAAGCATTCTATCCTGATCTCTTTCAAAGCCTTCATTATTATTATTATTTTAAGTCTCAGGGCTGACCGCAATCTCACTATGTAGAGCACACTGGCCTCGAACTCACAGAGATCCACCTGCCCGTGCTTCCAGAGTACTGAGAGGACAGGCGTGTGCCACCACACCCACTTGACAAGCCATTTTGACTTGCTATGTGCTTTCGAGCCTGAGCTTCCAGCTCCTTTGATTTGAGTCTACGGATTCCCAGCACCGACAGAAAGAAAACACATGTGAACTAGAAGAGTGTATGTTAGAAATGCTTGGCAAATGTTGGAAGCAATTTCAACATTCCTCTCCATCTCCTGGGAGGAGATCTTGGCCACCAATCAGCTAAGAAAGGAGTCAGAAGCAACATTCTGCAGGACCTTGAGATTTTACACACATTGTCCAGCAACATAATCAGCCACAGGCAATTAAGTTGGCATTAAATATCTGTAGAATGAATTAATTTGCTCAAGTCATCTACACTGTCATGTTGCCTCTGAACGGAAATGTTACCCTTCAGCTAAAACTGCAGAGCCAATTGACTCTGTGGTTAACTAATGTGCATAACTGGCATCAAAGCCCACGTTGCACCTCCTAAAAATCCACTGGATGTTAAAACCAAGTTTGAAGGGTAACCTGCTGAAGGGAGGAGCTGTCTTCCGCACACAAATTCCTTCCCATAAACAGGTAGTGTGATAACAAAGTAAGACACTGATTTTCCTCTTGAAAGTGAATTTCCAGCCCAAGTACTGTCTTCCCCTAGGTAAAATTGTGCACTGTCCCTTTAAGAAGCCAGGCAAGATGGAGCCCTCCCAGCTCGCAGCTAGAGGTTTCAAGCAACCTGATAGGGATGCTGGAGTGTGGCCAAAAGAAAGAATGCCAGAAGGGTGGTGGCCAGGCTATTTCCACCAGGAGTGGAAATTGAGGCTGTAAACACACAACACGCTTCAGTGCGCAGGGGCTGGCCGCGTGGCAGCTCTGGGCGCGAGAGCACCACCCTCCACCTCTCTCCTCCACCCTGCCCCACCCTTCTTTCCTCCTGGAGTAAGCCTCTAGCAGAAATGCAGCCACGTCCCCGCCCCGCCGAGACCCCGGGAGGGCGGCCGAAGGCGAGATGCTGGCCAGGCAAAATGGAAGGGACTTACTTTGGGGTTCCACGCCTCCGAAGGCATCCTCTCCTTGCAGCCCCTGCCAGGGCCAGCGCGCGCGCAGGGTCCTCGCTGCCTCACACCACGAACCGAGCCCAGGGACAATTAGGGAGATGCCTGTACACTCGGTATTACTGATCTTAAGGCGAGAAAGAAGGGTGTGAGGGAGTTAGCAAGTGGCGGGAGTGATGGTAAGATCTAAAACCCTCCTTTCTCCTCTTTCGCACTAGCTTCCCTCGCCCAGCTTTAGCGATATCAGGGGCAATGGTTTTCTTGTTTCTCCCTTTTGGTTTCTCCCAGCTGCCTCTCCCAGACCCCACCCAGCGGCTCCACCCCATCCACTGCTACACATTCTGTCAATCACCAGCCCCTTTAAAGCTGCATCACACAACTTGGCTTTTCCTCCCTCTTTGATGGGCAGACAGAATCCTAGGGCCTTTTTAACAATGCCCGGGACCTTTTTGTTGGGTTTATGAAGCTGGGGTTAGCTCCTAGTGGAGGATTCCCCTCCCCACCTCTACCCTGAAGCTTGCCCACTCTACCCGACCCAAACTCCTTTGGGCCGAGCGGGGCCCAGTCCCACCACACCCCACCAAGTCTCTTAACTTTGTTTTTGGTGAGAGCTCTTTCTTAGCCAGCCAGAACTCCAAGAAAGTTCCTGTTACTTCCTCCTTGGCACCGCCCACTCTCGTGCACTTTCTAGACTGAAGGGGCTTAAAAGTCTTGGGGCTTCTCCAGGTCTGCCTGGCGCAGGGGAATACTGTCTGCACCTTTTATCCACATGAGTCTCCAGATTTCTGACAAGAATGGAAAAAGAAGACAGTAGTAATTCCCAGAAATCTGTGTGATACCTTTAACAAACTTTAAAAAGTCTTCTGGTGCCATCACTCCTTTAACAACACCTTTAACAAACTTTAAAAAGTCTTCTAGTTGCCATCACTAGACAAACAAGCAACTAAAAAGTCAGAAGATCATGGAGGGCACATCCCACTGGCATAAAAGTGGAAGTCCACAGGGATCCATCAGAAATTACATTTGTTGCTAGTCTCCTTTTCAGTTCAGGATAACACCTGGTTTCAGGACAAAAGATCTTGGAGCCAACTTTGACACTTTTATCCTCCCAGGTCACTTTCAGTTCTTCGGAAAATCATTTTGTCTCTAGTGTGACCAGGACCTGACCACTTCTTGCCATTTTCACTACAGGCTGTAGTCTGCTGCCATCCCTCAACTAGACGCCTAGAAGAGTTGCCTCAAAGATCTCCCTCTTTTCTACATTGACTCTCCTAAAATCCATTCTCTAGTTAGGAAACCGTTTTAACTATTTAAAGAGCAAATGTGAACAAGAGGTACTCCTTTTTTAAATTCTTCAATTCCCATTGCATTTAGGATCCAAATTCTACCTGAAAGAAGATCCATCCTCCCCCCACCTTAATTTAGAAATAACCTCATCCACAGTGTTTCTATTGTTATTTGTTTTAAAATGCCTCATAGTCTGGGCTCTGTGTTACCTTTCTCTTTGGTTCTATCCATAGTGAACTCTTAGTGAAGCCCAAAGAAACTTTCTCTGACCTGACAGCCAAGAACTCACAGGACACAGGATAATACAGTGGGACTGAATCACGTTATTTCTTATCACAACCCTTCACAATTTCAATGAATGGTGTTTGCAAGTTTGTACCAGCAGCTTAGTGAGAGCAGGGGCTCACTTATACTTACTGTACTGAATAGTGGCTGCCATATAGTGTGAAGCCAATAAATATTTGTTTAAAGATATTATGTGCAGTATCTTAGAGGATGTATTGGGTACTATCTGTTTTTAGTTGTTGTTATTATTATTATTATGGTTTTTTTGAGACAGTGTTTCTGTGTGTAGCCTTGGTTGTCATGGAACTTGCTCTGTAGACAAAGCTGGTCTCCAACTCAGAGATCTGCCTGCCTTTGCCTCCCAGGTGCTGGCATTAAAGATGTGCAATATCACTGCCTAGCTCATTCATTCTTCTAAGGAGAGTTTATCAAGCACCCTTATTTTGGCGAAGTACATTGCAAGTTTATAATAGCAAACGAGATGAAGACTTTGGCTAACATTCAGGGCATTCATGACCTGGAGACTTGGGCCTGGTAATATCTGTAAGCAAAATAATACTGTTTAAAACATATGAGGTCTGAGCAATTGAGAATGTGCTGATAATGGCTTAAGAAATGGTAAAGCTAAGAGCCTGCAAATCCTAAAAGACATTGAAAAATCACACTGCTAGCACACCACAGCTTCTGCCAATTAACCCCAATGTTAGCCCCAAGGGTAAAGTATATAGACAAATATTCTAAGAGATAATAAAGGCAAGTTGTTTATAAAAGGCATGTATGCCTTTGATACCATCTTTTTTTTAAATAAGTATTACACCAGGCAGTGGCAGTGCATGCCTTTAATCCTAGCCCTCAGGAAACAGAGGCAGGCAGATCTCTGTGAGTTTGAGGCCAGTGTGTCTACAGAGCAAGTTCCAGGACATCCCGGACTATATAGAGAAACCCTGTCTCACAAAAACAAAACAAACAAAATGAATGAATGAATGAATGAATGAATGAATGAATGAAAAAATGAAGTCCTCTCTTACCAATCTAGTAACCTCACACTAATTAAAATCCTGATTTTTCTGATCTTCCTTTATTTTCCAATTTGTTAGTAAGCTCCTTAGGAGTTTGGTCTCTGTCTTGTTTATCTTCAAACACTTTGCAGTGACTAACACAGATTTGGCATGTTAACTAACTATATAGGGTACTTCATTTAGGCGTGTAGCAAACAAAAATATATCCTTGATCTGTGTGAAAGGTAGAGGTGTTAGTATTTAGGCATCCTGCTTCTGGGTTGCCTAGCAACTTATGATGTCATAATGTGTCTCCTGCCAAGTAGCCGCACCTGGCAAGTGTGGTTAAGTTTCTCCTTAAAAAGATCAACTGGCCACTTTGTCTCTCTCTTGCCCTCTCATCTCTTGCCTTCTTAGCCTCTTGCCCTCTCCCCTTTCTTTGTTGGGGTGCCCTCTTCCCTTCCCCCATCATGTCTCACTCTCTCCTTCTCTCTCCCTTTTCATCTCCATCCAATAAACCTTTTCATATAAAATCTGCTGTGTGCATCATCATTTCATTGATCCTAAAAAGCAGTGCTATACTGGAAATTGTTAGGCCTCAGAAACCTGAGACAATGGCTAAATTAGGTGCCTATTAGCATGCATATCAAAGTGGAGAGAGCCAGATTTCCCAGCATCACTCTGTACCTGTGGCTTCTCCCAGCAGTTCTCATCCCTCCCTGTACCCTAACCTCTTCCTTCCAGGGGCTGGTCTTCCACTTCCCTTCCCCAAGCATGATCCTTATATAATCAAGACATTTTAGCCACACTACTCTCTTGGCCTCTTGGCCCAGGCTACCTGTTGGTAGTCTGCTCCTCTACTGCTCTCACTGCCAGTCATTTTTAGCCTGGACTCTCCTTGCTTTCATCCTTATATCCGCATTAAAAAATCTTCCACTTTAGTGGTCATTGTTAGTTTTTAGGCAGCCTGCTTCTGGGCTGCCCAGCAACCTATGAAGTCAGCATGTATACCTGGCAGGTATGGTTAAGTCTCTCCTTTAAAATTTTTATTTATTTTTTATTTTATGTACATTGGTGTTTTGAGTGCATGCCTGTCTATGTGAGCGTGTTGGATCCCCTGGAACAAGAGTTACAGATAGTTGTGAGCTGCCATGTGGGTGCTGGGAATTGAACCTGAATCCTCTGAAAGAGCAGCCAGTGCTCTTAACCACTGAGCCATCTCTCCAGCCCCTAAGTTGCTCCTTAAAAGGATCAACCTACCACTTTGTCACTCTCTTGCCCTCTTACTCTCTAGCTCTCCTGCTCTCTCCCCTTTCTCTGTTGAGGAGGCCTCCCTGCCTTCCCCCTATCATGTCTCACTCTCTCCTTCTCTCTCTCTCCCTTCATCAACCTCTTTCATATAAAATTTGTGCATATCATCATTTCATTGGTCCTAGCAGTCATGGCCTCCTTTTCTTTCTTTTTTTTTTTTCTTTTTTTTTCATTCAGAAAGAAATATTTTTAAGAAAATCCCCAGGTCCTGTGTTGACTAGCCGTGTAACACAGAAATATGTAGAAAAATGATATTATTATCAGGCTTCTCTATGTATACACATATATAAGGTGGCTAAGAAGGTAGAGACTTTGGCTATGAGGCCCTTCTTGTAGAAAACTACAAACCTCAGATAGTTCTTGACATAAAAAAAGCTACCATTGTATTTTTTTATGAAACTCACAGCAGGCATGTTAGTAAGAATGAGAGAAAGACTCCTGATAAGTCTGGCAGCAAAAGTCAAAACTACTCTAATACAGAGGTCACAAACCCACAATTCAGAGGTTAAATGTAGTCAACAGATATTTTGCTTAGCCTATGGTATATGTGTGCAACTATATACACATGTATGTGTCAAATTGAAGAGATTACGAGCTTTGAAAAATTAAGAGGTTTCTATATGAAAGTTATTTTGCATGTTTACACAGAAAACAATTACATAATTTTCCATTAATCCGTTAGAAATAATCAGTGCCTGGCCTTTTCAGCTGTCGTCTCTTGAGTTCATGAGTTCACCATAGCCCCTACCTAATCATTTCACACTTTGGCAAGGGAAGGTGTGTTTGTTTTTAATGCTTAATAAATAACAATGATTAAAAGGTGGCCATTTGAAAGCTCCCAGTGATCCTTAAATATGCAAGAGCAGTTCTATGAACATCTTTCAAAGAGACTTGGCTTCATAACTATGAACCCATTTTTGAGGGTACATTTAATATGTGGCCTGGTTGCTTTACCAGAAACCATACCGTACCACTGTGCCACCTCTTTGACTCGAACACAGTTCCCTGAGGGAATAGGAGCCGCATGTAATTTAGTTAAATTCAAGAAATATTTATTGCCCATTCATTAAGTGGAAAGAACTGTGTAGGCTGTATAACTTTTAGGTGTGTTTTCTTTTCCTTTAGAAGCGTCCAGTCCAAAATTCTACTTACTGTTTCTGTAATATTCCTTGTGGAAACCTGATAGTCTCTGAGAATTGATATTTACTCGTAAATAGAATTCAGCCTGATTTTCTTCCGTGTGACTCCACTGAAATGGTTATTTTGAAGATCTATGGTAACCTCCAGGTTTCTAAAGCAAATGATCATTTTGTAGTCCTTAAATTTCTTTGCCATTCAGCAACATTCTGATTAACTGACCAACGATGTTCTCTTAGGGTTGTTTTGTGTAGGATTTTTATATAGAAATACTCTTCTATTTTTCCTTTTATTTCACTGGCTGATATTCAGACTGCTTTTCTCCTACTTCACTAAGCTCTAAATATTAAAACTAGCTCAAGTTTTCTCTTTTAACTTTTTTAGTCTATCTATATTGTATTCCTATGTGAGCTCATACAGTACTATGACTCTGGATATGAGCTAGTATAATCCTAAATCTATATTCCAGACCTAAACCTGTCTAAATTTTACATCCATATATGGTACCACAGTTCAGGGACAGATTCTGAAGAATCACAGTTCTTTCTATTACTGTAATACAGACACCACAACCAAAAGCTACTTGGTCTACACAGTGTCCTAAATAAAGATTTTTTTTAAAGATTTATTTATTTATTTATTTATTTATTTATTTATTTATTTATTACTTATACAGTGTTATGCTTGCATATGTGCCTAGCCTACAGGTCAGAAGAAGGCACCAGATCTTATTGTAGATAGTTGTGAGCCACCATGTGGTTGCTGGG